GTTAGGTTGTTTGTTTTTTTGTTTTAGTAGAAGTTTAACAACCTCATCGACACAGTTTTCATTTAGGATGCGAGTTGCGTCGGCTCTATCTGTTATGGCCAATACGAGCTGAGAAAGATACAACGTCCCATCAGACAGACGGAGAGACTCAATAACTCTACTCAGCCTCCACCCCTCCCAACCAGCCCCTTGCGGGAATCGAACCGTGTTCATCTCTGTGCGATGGTGAAACACCTAACCCGCTTCGCCAAAGTCACTTTGCACAGTCGCCAGATAAGACAGAAGTGAAAATGGTGAAAGGATAGGGTTTACGCCCTATAAAGACAAGTAGGTCATTTCATTTAAGAGAAGGGACCTCCGAGTTTGACGGCCATCTCCGAAAAGAGCAAAACAAATGAGAACTGTGCGTAAAGTGCATTCCCCAAGGACACAACGTCGGACCGAGCTGAGGCCAGAACCCCTGAACACAGAAGTAACAACTGATGATTAAAAGATGTCACAGAAATCTGTTAGTTTTTACGCAATATAGCCACGGAAAGAAAACCTCCTACAAGATCAAAGTGATACCAAAGTTCTCGCTTTGTTTCGTATGTTTGAGCAAAAAGAATGAGCCTTTTAGAGCTCAGAGGAGAAGTCAACAAAGGGAAACGGCGTACTAAAAACAAGGCTTGTAACAACCATTTTAAAGTAAACGTTAGCCACTCACTCGGAAATTACTTGATTTATTACGTATTTTAATGGTTTCCAATGTCTGTGAGGCCATATTTAGGTAGCCTGACGTCATGCAAGAAAGACATTTTTTTACTTATTTTAAGACAGGAAGTTGCAATGCACTTTTATCAAATAAACCTTGTTGCTGAATTAACAACACACTTCTTTTCCAATTTACACTTTGACATCTTTCGAATGATAAGAATTATGTTGGCTGCTAAGTGACGTTTGTAGATAAAAATCGTGACACTATTTCTCGAAAATAAAGCAAAGTGTGCTTCTTTTTTCAGAACTCGAAAGCATTTGCGATATAAAGCACTTATCGAGATTGGCCATTTCTTCTCGTAAAAGAACCAAGGTGACTGTCAACAAAAGTACAGTTTCATTAGCCTTTGGGCGTTTAGTTTTAGTAGAGGTTTTACGGCGCTCGCAACTGCATACGGTCATTTGATAGCCAAAAGATTAGAGGTGTTCCAAGAGAGTAACAAACATGAAAAAGAAGGGGAGATAAGACGATAGATGTTTGAAAGGAAAGAAGAAGCAAACACATAAGAACACCCGCCAACCACACACAGCCTTAGGGCGTGCTGTCCCAAAAAATAATTTTAAAATGGAAACCCAATGTGACAGTAGTCACGGTACTTGAGACTTTCAAAGACATAGTAATATTATAAACAATTATAGACATATGTTATAGACAAACGTTCTAAAAAAGACGGAAATAATGCTTAGTGACCATAGCCACCCACTGACATCGGAATTTCAACTATCGACCCGCAGTAAACGATACATTTCCAAAAAAGCAAGAACAGACAGATATAGAAATTCATTCGTACCAACTGCAGTGAGGTTACTGTACACACAGTGCAACAAATGAAACAGAGAGAAAGAGAGAGAGAGAGAGAGAGAGAGAGAGAGAGAGAGAGAGAGAGAGAGAGAATGAATGTTTTACGGAGCAGGTTGTCCCAGCACGTGAGACATGTATTTACTTGGCCTAATATCCTGTCTTGTTGTGCGTTTGTGTGAGTGCACCTTTAAGTCTAACTTTTGTAACGTCTACTGCCATTGTTAACGACCAAGACAAATTTCTCCCTGCAAGATGAATAAAGATTGTCATTGTCATTTTCATTGTCATTGTATAAAGCCAGAACAGACTGTGTCCCTGCGCTAAAGCATTGCTCACTTAGTGTCGTAAGTTTTAGTAAGAATTTCACGGCACCTGCAACACAATTAGGTCATATGAGTGCTAAAGATTAGAGATGTTACAAGACAATAACAAATACAAAAATCAAGGAGGAGATATAAGGATCAGATCATAGAATGTTTGATAAGAAAAAAGGAGCAAACCACACCACAGCACCCACCAACCACCCACTTAACGTCTCAAAAAATCAAATGCTAGGAGGGTCCTAGACTGTTGGCTATGTCGTACAATGTATGGAAATATGACATTATGTAAACGAAAAGGATGTTCCCTTACAGTAAAAGTAAAAAGAAAAAATCAGTATTGATTCAACAAAATAATTTAAGATTAGGATTAAAATGTATTTCATTAAATAATGAGCCCTATCTTTCGAGACTGTGATATTACAAGTCGTTAGGAAACGCAAGGCAAAATGAGAGGCACTTGGGGTCCTTTAAAGCAGAAGCAAGCAGAGGAATGAAAATCCAGAATTTAAAGTCTTTGCTTGTTGTCTTTTTCGTAAGAGTTTATAGATACTTCCAACACAATAAGGTAAAATAAATGCCGAAGATTAGAGGTGTTACAAGGGAGTAAGAAGCAAAAAAGGAGGAGGGGAGATACAGACAATAGATGTTTGACAGGAAAGAAGGAGCAAACCACACCAGAGCAGGGGGCTCTCGTGGCCTAGAGGTTAAGGTGTTGGCCTCTCATTCAAAGGTCCCGGGTTCGAATCCGGGTAGTGACCGAAACATTTTCTTCTCTAAATTTGTCTCCTTTCATCTCCTTTCCTGCTCTCTAGCAATGTTCTGTCATCTGCTTTCGTCTCCTCTTTCTGCCCCCACTCCCTCATCTCCTTTGCCCCCCTCCTCTAGGCTCCTGATTCTTTCTACAGCCTTTCTACTGCTACTCCTTGGCTTCTTCTTAGTGATGTCTTTCCCCCACACCCCTGATCTTCTGGTAGGAAAGATCTACACCTAGCCTTCTCAGACAAGGGCGAAAAATCTCGGAGGGCCCGTGTGCAAGTTGCGCACGTTAAAGATCCCTTGGTGGTCTAAAATCGATGAGAGTAGGCTTTGGCCGCCACCCGGGCAAAATTCAAAATTTTCTTCCAACTGAAAATGTTTTATGTGTCCCGCGCGCTCATATGATCTTATGCAGTTGCGAGCACCGTAAAACACTTACAAAAACAAAACAAACGAACACCAGAGCACCCGCAAAACACCAAGTATAGAACAGTATCAAGGAATCAGACAGCAATGAACAACGTTCAGAAAAAAAGGTCACCAACACTGAAAACGACAACACAACGGTGCGCTTGAGAACTGTAAAGAATTAAATGCTGACAAACGTAAAAGAGAAAAAAAAGCAGTAGCACTTAACACAGGCGTCTTCGAAATCTCCATAAATTAAACGCAAACTGCCTGTCGTGCAAAAATCAATGAGTTGATAACGATAACCAGAACAAGCTGTGTAGATTTTCCATTAATCCTTGTTGACAATGCTTGGGGAATTGTCAAAACAGCGACGACATTAATACCCAAAGCTTAAAAAAAGAAAAGAAACAAGAAAGAAAAAAGGAAAACCCCGATATAACAGGAAGAGGTCCCATTGTGAAGGTGAATAAACGCATTCCGTCTTAAGGTGAATCCCATATTTTGCACATTTAGATTTCGACTTCATCACAAGATGAGCGTCAACGTACGAAACAAAATATAAACTTATTTGGAAAATAACACATCTCTTCATACCACACTTTAAAAAAATATATTATTACTCTATATTAAATATAGAAACCCATCCCACTGGAGGCAAATATAGTGGTAGGGCGTGACGGTCCGCACTCCACACTCATTATCAATTAATTATTGTTCGTTTCGACAGACATTCATACTATTTACATGGATTCGGACATAATTACGGAATGTGAAAAACCATTCTCTAGTTTCAGTGAGAGCTTTAAGGCACTTGCAACACAATTAAATCTTATAAATCTACATGATTAGAGGTGTTACAAAAGAGTAACACTAGTAACACTAAAAAGAAGGAAGAGAGAAAGAGACGGTAGATATTTGATAAGAAAGAAGGAGCAAAACACAATAGAGCACTCGCCAACCACCGACAAAAGCATTCTTTGAAATTAAAAAGCTCTCCATTTGAAACTTTCATTTAAAAAACCCCCAACGTTCTAAGACTATAATTCGAGAACTTTTGATTCAAAACAAGGTTGATGGGGGGCTCAGATTTTTGTAGGTCAGTTAATCAAGCACTACGGACCTTTCCTGTGTAATTGATTTAGCATAGAAATGTGGAAAAGACAACAGCAAGAAAAGGAAACTTGAGAAGCAAAAGGATCCATTTACCTGTTTTGAAAATATTCCCTGTATTTCTAGTCTCTCAATAACCTTCTTTTCCCTCACCCCACCACACACAGGCACATACATGCACACACACATACACACACACACACACACACACACACACACATACACACACATACAAAGACACACACGTAGACACGCAGACACACACACACACACACACACACACACACAATACACACACAAGACACCCATACAAGTACTTGCAAACGAAACACACAGACACGTGCGCGCGCGCACATACACACACACATACACACATACATAGACACACACAGACATACACAAACACAGACACACAGACACACAGACACACACACACAGACATACACACACAGACACAAAGACACACACACAGACATATACACACACAAAGCACCCATACATGTACATGCAAACGAAAAACACAGACACACACAGACATGCACACACATACACACACACACATACACACACACACACACACACACCACTCACACATACGCGCCTGCGCAGTCACAATTTTTGTTGGAAATGAAAAGTGATTACAACCTTGATAGTTAGATCATCGATAGGACAAGTCTTGGCATTGAACAATATCACTATCTGACAGTTAAAATAAATGACTCAATAAAATGAAAAATAAACGTGGTTACCACTGAGAGTTGACTACACAATCTAATATTGTTAAGTTTCGAACAAACGATTCCATAGAAAAGAAGCTACAGAAAACAATTAATTGTACTCACCGTGCTCTGTTGAAGAAGAAATGACACCAAGTTAATTAATTGTACTTTTTTTTAAACTCCTGGGAGATTTAGTCAACATCTTTTGCAAATTAGCATTCTACACACGTTAATGAAGATACGATTCTTTTTCGGGAAGAATATAATATTATTGTAATGTGACCACAAAAAAAAAAGACGCGTTACAAAGTTACACGTGTACTATATTGAAGAATTCACATTAAATGTCTCAGACTCCGAAAACTAAGAGCACAACATTATGTTTAAAAAAAAGACAATCTTAAACAGAATAATTAAGTAGTCCGGCAAAAAAATAATGACGTCGACCTTGAAAAAACAACAACCGTGAGCAGGACACACAGTAGAGGTGAAAACGGTCCCCGAGAACAATCCCCGAAAGTGTGGACTGGGTGAGTGAGAGAGGCCCAGCCGTCCTGGGACACCTGCCTGACTCCCCACAGTATTAAAGACCACCGCTCTCCCCCCAGCACAAGCCAGTGACGAGGCCGGGCCGGCTACAAGGCTTCGGACGCTGTCGCCGCCACGCGCTCTCCGGGCTTCTCACTACTTGTGCTGGGCCATTTGGAGGAAACCAAGATTCCTAGTCGACGACGCTTCGAGGTGTGAAGTAGATATTCGTGTTATTCGAATAGCGGGTGTGTTTTTAGTTTCATGTCGAGTAAAGAGATATACGTTGACATAATTATGGCCATATAGTGCAGGGATAAAGGAAATAGTTAATGGTCCTTTTTTAAACTCTTACACAACATTGCTTATCTCTTTTCGTTACTGAAGACCCGATTATTTTTAGCGAAGCATAATATATGATGAGAAGATACATGAGGGCACGTTGAAAAGTAAAACTGGAACACAAATGACAATTTGAAGAATTTACAATAAATTTCAGAGACACAAAAACTAAAAGAACAGTATTATGGGGTTACTAAAATATCATTTTATACTTTTTTTTCTTGTGGTTTGGTTTCTTTTTGGTTTTCCTTTTTTTTTCTTTTAAATCCCGTACAGTTAAATTAAGTTCCGGTATTCCGGGTAAAATGAAATATGTTGAACTTGAACAGCCGTGAGCAGGACACACAGTAGAGGTGAAAACGGTCCCCGAGAACAATCTCCGAAAGTGTGAACTGGGTGAGTGAGAGAGGCCCAGACGTCCTGGGACACCTGCCTGGCTCCCCACAGCATTAAAGACCACAGCTCTCCCCCCGCCACAAGCCAGTGACGAGGCTGGGCCGGCTACAAGGCTTCGGACGCTGTCGCCGCCACGCGCTCTCCGGGCTTCTCACTACTTGTGCTGGGCCATTTGGAGGAAACCAAGATTCCTAGTCGACGACGCTTCGAGGCGTGAAGTAGATATTCGTGTTATTCGAATATTGAGTATGCTGTTAGTTTCAGTTTGAGTAAAGAGATGTAGTATGTCGACATAATTATGGCCATTTAGTGAAGGAAAGAAGCAAGTAAAAAGTTGTCCTTTTTTCAACTCTTTCAAAAAAGTATTCAAATCTCATTTGCAGGTTTATAGTTAGTCAACAAACGTCATAAAGATTCGGGTTTTTTTTGGGTGTGAATTGAATGTGAACAAAATTAAAGAGTGTTGAAAAGGTAAACTAAAACTCTTTTCCTATTTTGATGAATTCACAATAGATTTCAGAGGCACCAAAGAATAAAAGCGAAATTTAATGTTGGGGTTTTGGGGGGTTTTGGGGGTTTATGTGTCAGATTTTTTTTCTTTTCTTTTTCAAAGAGGGGGGGGGGGGGGGCTTTGTTTTAAATCCTTATAGCAAAATTAAGTAGTCCCACACAAAAAATGTTCGACCTTAACCACCGTGAACAGGACACAATAAAAATGAAAACGGTCCCCGAGAACAATCCCCAAAAGTGTGGACTGGGTGAGTGAAAGAGGTCCAGCCGTCCTGAGACACCTGCCTGGCTCCTCACAGCATTAATGACCACCGCTCTCCGGGCTTCTCACAACTAGTGCCGGGCGATTTGGAGGAAACAAAGATTCCTCGACGACGCTTCGTGGCGTGAAGTAGATATTCGTGTTATTCGAATATTGTGTGTGTTTTTAGTTTGTGTTTGAGTAAAGAGATGCATATCAACACAATTGTGACCATTTAATACAGGGAAGAAGCATAATATATGAGGCAGCGTGGTGGAATCAGGCTCTCGTCAATTTTAGGACATGTAGAGTTATTGGTATCATCTTAAAGCTTGTGCACTTGTCTATATTTTGATTTTTTCAAATATCCATTTATCTTGAATACAAGTCGAGATATCTGCGAATGAAGGAGGTGGGTGTCACCTGTTTTCAGAGGTAAAATTAAGGAGAAAATGGCCGCCAAAGTTTAGTTACTTCCGTAGATTAAGAGTCCGTGGTAACTGAACATTTTCATTTTTTGTGCCTTTATTCAATTTTTTTTCCAGAAAAATCCACACAGAAATGAGTTCTTTAATGGGCATGAAAGGTGTTGAGCCAAAAAACTAAAAATTTATTAAAATACACAAACCTGAGGAAAAATCCAAGTTTCTTCACTTTGATTATTTTGACGAGAGCCTGATTCCACCACGCTGCCTCACATATAGTTAATTGGGTGGGTTTTTTTTCAAGTCTTAAAAAACTTCGTCAATCTTCTTACGTTAGTGAAAATCCGATTCTTTTTAGGGAGGCAGATATGATGAGAAGATACATAAGGGCGCTTTCACACTAGAGCTGGCCGATTTGGAAGAAACGAAGCTTCCTAGTCGACGCTCCGGGGTGTCAGGTAGATGGTCGTGTTATTCGAATATAGAGTGCACTTTTAGTTTGAGTTTGAGTAAAGAGATGTATATCGACTTAATTATGGTCATTTGGTGTAGAGAAAATGCAAGGCAGATAGACGGAAACAACAGAGAGAAAGGAAAGACCTAGGACCTATCAGGGGTGCTCTCAAACCATACGCAAATACCGAGAGTGTAAGAATTTTTTAATATTATATAAGTCCATTAGTTACATTCGCTATTCAATACTCATACTATTAGCTCCACTTGTCACTTTCTCTCTTTCTCTCTATCTCTCTCTGTCTCTGTCTCTCTCTCTCTCTCTCTCTCTCTCTCTCTCTCTGTGTGTGTGTGTGTGTCTCTGTCTCCCTTTTTCTCTTTCTCTCTCTCTCCCTCCCTCTCTGTCTCTCTATCTCTCTCTGTCTCTCTCTCTCTCTCACTCTGTCTCTCTGTCTCTCTGTCTCTGTCTCTCTCTGTCTCTCTCTGTCTGTCTGTCTCTCTCTCTCTCTCTTTCTCGCTCTCTCTCTCGCTCTCTCTCTCTCTCTCTCTCTCTCTCTCTCGTAATCATCGAGAACATAGTTTTGTTCTATTGACATCGATGATTTCATATTGATATTATGATCTGATTTTACGTTGGGTTGAGAAAAATGAGACGAAAAGACATTCTCCTTAAAGAAAAAAATATTTTTTAAAAACCCACAGGTTTTTTGAATAACTCTCCCACACTTCAAATAGCTGTGAATGGCGTTAAAATCGTGAAAGTTGTATGGTAGAATCGAAGGGTTCCACCTCTTTTAAATTCTCAATCCAGTTTGACACTGGTGGCCGCCTCTGTCTCACACAGTAGTCTCCCCTGACTGGAGACCGAACGACCGGGCGGTAGTGATGGCTACAGATGGAGCCCATTTCCCTAGAAAGTTGTTTTTTACAGAAAGGCTAAGAACTTTAACTACACAGGAGCGCATAAATGATATGGGTTTAAGGCCTCTATCAACACCAATAGGTTATTTAAGAGGCGGTCACTAGTGATATCATTCTTATCTCTCTCCCTTTTAAAATCTTTTTTCGTTTGTTTATTTGGTTTGTTGGATTTTTTTTTAAGTTACTCTCTAGAAACACCCCTAGTCTTCGGCGCTTATGATATTATTGTGACCTAATTGTGTTGCAAATGCCATACAACTTTTACTAAATCTAAAACAAAAAACTGAAGACCAATGCTAACCAACTTGAACGATATCGGCAACTAGTGTGCCATTTAGTAATTTTCGTGGGTGGTGAGGTTCACCTGGGTGGTGACAGGTATATTAAAATCTAATGCCCCTCTGGGAAATAACGTGTCAATGACAATGACAATATTTATTCATCTCGCAGGGAGAAATTTGTCTTGGTCGTTTACAATGGCAGTGAATGTTACAAAGGTTATGTACACTCACGCATACGCACAACAAGACAGGACTTTAGTAAATATATGTCTCACGCTCTAAAGACAAGGGGAGAAACGAAGATTGTATCTGTCCAAAAAAAGGATTGACAAGAACTGAGTTAAGCTATCAAAGAATACTTTCATTCAATTCATTTACATTTCTATAATATAATGTTATTTTGAGATGCTGCATTTGATCCTACTTTATAACAGTATTTGATAGGATTTTTCGAAATCTTTGGAGCTCACCCTTTCAGCCCGACACCAGTCTGAACAACTGAACAATTGTGTGAAGGACCGAACAAGGGGCATCCCTATAAGCTCTCTGTCCCCTGAAGAAGCACATCTCGAAGTGTGTAGATGCTGACGGTTCCAAGCAATGTTTGATTCCATATATCTAATCTAGCCTTCTGCTCCTCCCACTAAGTCTTGAACTTCTGCAGGCGCCCCATCCAACCCCAAGCTCACGAAATCGCTCAAGATGATGGTATTCCGACTCTTCTAGTTCGTTTTCTTGTTTTTCCCTGACTCAATGCACAAAAGGGTGATAGATTTTCGATAGGAAAGAGGGGGCAAACCACACCAGAGCATCTACCGGCCACCCAAAGGAGAATAAGTATGGGAGTTGTGCTTAAGATTCTAGCAGTCTACGGGATTCAAAACTTAATAGGTCATATAAGTGCTGAAGATGAAATAATATGTTATTAGAGAATAGCATACAAAGAAAAGGAGGAGACAAATTAATAAAAACTGTAGATGATAGATGGCAAACGATTCCAGATCACTTGCCAACTATCTACTGCCGGAATAAACATGAGAGTTGTGTCTAGGATTACAGCGTGTCATTGCATAAGAATTGTTATTCACGTGAGTCGAATTAGAATATGACCTTTTAATACCAATGAGGTCGTTATGAATCTTGTTTTTTGTGCGCATTATTTTGTTGCCGAAAGCCACACGAGTCCACAATCGAACGTTTTGTTTTAGTAAGCGTTTCTACGACACTTTTACTATTGCTGGAGATTAGAGGTGTTACAAGAGAGTAACAAACACAAAAATGAAGGAGGAGAGATAAGGGCGATAGACAGTTGATAGGAAAGAAGAAGCAAACCACATCAGAGCACCCGCAGGCCACCCATTAGCAGAATAAACATTGGAGATTCCAGCATAGTGTTGCGCAATAACTGTGTTACTCAAAAGACGAATTAGAATATGACCTTTTTATACCAATGATATCTTAATGAATCTTGTTTTTTGTACGCATTTTCTTGAAGCTGAATGCCACACGAGTCTACAGTCGTTTGTTTCACCGTTTTTACGACACTTGCAACA